CAGTACTCTACCATTATTTAATACTGTTCCATATTCGAAACGGGCAGCTTCTTCGATCCACAAAGTCTACCGAAGGAAATTCATCTCCATTTCGTCATAGTGAACATGCTCAAAAAAATCGCCATTGTACCTCATCAACCTAAATATGGACGGTTTAACAAATACTTCAACGGTGTACTGCTTTTCTTTCTTAGTTTTCGAAACCGGACTGAAGCGGCATAAGCATCGTCCCCTCGCTTCTAGTGGTCTAGGAGACCATTCAAGTAGGCCACGACTCCATGGCATTTGAGCACCTGAAGTGTATGGATGCAGAACCGCATCACTAGCAGTATGCTAGTAAAACCGTAAGATCGGATTTTATTTTTCTGTATATGTACTCTTTTCTATATGCTATTCTTTGCATTCATTCCACGTAAAGGCAGATACGAACAGTAGTGACGGGTAACTTAAAGCAGCTCATATTCTGGTGATCGTCATGTCAAATTCTCCGCAGGGTACGTTCCGTATGTGTTGGATGCAGAACGAACACCAACGAAAATGGACCAGGAAAAAACAAAGCGTTTTAACAACTGATATAACGAGAAAACTATACTAGAATAGCAAAATCATGTGTTAAAAATGCACTTATACAAGCAGGTTTTTAAATCATTACAAACATCGGCAAGGAAATATGGGATGAGGATTACCATGTAAAGAATGTGATGGTTTACTTTAAACAGCCTTGGAACGAGAACTATCCCTGATGAAAAAACTGTCAAGTCAATTTTTACAACATTATTCTTAAAACAACCATTTCTGGTAGGACAACGGTAAACATTTAATTGATATAACAGCCATTAACTTACAGAAGTAAATACATGTGCACACTGCACAACTCAGTATTTATCTGTGCGTTAATATCGAAAACAGGACAAACCATGGTCTATTTATATATAACTCTAACAGTATGGTCAGTTAGATGATTGACAAATACTGACCTTTCGCCTCGTGTCTAAAGGAAGTTGGGTGACTGGTTTCGGAAGTCCTTTCGCCGTTCGCATCGGTTGGTATTTAGGGAATCTGAAGGCCTTCTGAAGAACAGCTGCGCCCGGAGCCAACCCACATCTCTACCTTGTAGATTAACGAGACACGGGCCGAAACGTCCGCACTGCTTTATCACAAGATTGCTGATATTTCTACAAACTTTGTTTTATGCTGCTGCTACAATGAATAGGTAACATATTGTAATATTCTAATTAAAACCATTTATAAAACATTAATTTGAAGAAATATACGTCAGAAATGGTAGTCTCAATTACAACATAACTTCTTTCCATCTCATTATATTATTCCCTAGAAGATAGATATCACCGAGATATAATAGGGAATTATTCGCGTAACTTCACGAATATTTGTAACAGTTTTCAACAATCATCTTTTGTATAGCGAAAACCTTACAAACATTCAAATTTTGATATCATATAAAATTCATATGGTAATTTACACATTTAACAACGTTTCTACACATGTGCATAAAAATACCTGAAGTTTTCCGCCGTTTTGGGAACCACGTCTGCAAATAACTCCATTTTGATCCTGCCGATCTCTGCACCCGCCGCTGTGATGTCCATGAAAACGACAGGATTTTCAGCATGGCGCAACTGCTCCTTGATTTTCTGCCACTCCGACATGGATAACAAGTTCTGAAAGCAAGCACTTATCAAATATGAAACCTATTCATAAATTCAACTTCTGATGCCGGATTTTCTCTGGGTAAACGCACTGTCCTCGTGCTTCTAGTCCCCTAGGGGACCATTAAATCAGGCAAAAGCCCCACGATATTTGAACACCTACAGTGCATCAATGGACTGGGCTGAAACAAAGGCGCGTTTGAGTATAAACAAAATCTGCCACTATCCATAGATTTATTATATATTTTACTCGCCTAGAGAACCCTTTCGGGCTCCAAATGCTATAACAGCCGCGAGCAAGAACTTCCGAACCTAACACC